CGGATTCACCTTATTTACATTGAACCTTATGGGAAAATTTGATTCGGTTGGCGACCAATTCGGATCATGACCACGTTCGTAGGGGTCAGAACGGATTAACCGTATTTACATTGAACCTTGTGGGGAAATTTGATTCGGCTCGCGACCAATTCGGCTCACGACCAGAATCGTGGAACGAATTAAGTTCGTGAACCGAGGTACCACTGTACATGGGCTTATCCGTGAAGCCAACATGAGTTGAGCTGAAATCCGGGGAGAGTTATATCATACTGTATAAGCAAAAGCATGGGTGTGTGTACACAGATATAAAATGCAAGAGTGAAAATGGCTTATATGTTCTACCTTGACTTTTTAAATACAGTGATAGATTTTAAATGTTTCTATTGTTAATTACAGACAAATGCAGCAATTCAGCATCACAAACTCCCATGGTTAGCACGGGGCGTATGAAAGTGAAGTGGCTCTCTTACTGCCACAGCTTGAGCTGAGAGAAGAGGATCAGGAAGACAATATCCATGCTGCTATCTAGTGCTGGCTCCGTTGAAGAAATACAGGCAAGAGAAGCTTTTTACGGCTCCCCGGCGTATTGCACAATTATTATTTGGGGGAGGGGGAGGCTGAAAACATTTATTCATGCTCTTTATTATTTATTCTCTGTGCCAATGGCATTACTGCTAATGGGAATTAACTCACAGGAAGTCAGGCTTGGTCAGGTTGCCTTGAGAGAACCAGGAGGCTGGAAAGGTACACCTGCCTAACCTTGCCAAACAGCTGGAGTGCAGGCACCCAGAATTGTGAAAAAGGGTTCTGGGGGCAGGGGTGTCCAAGAGAGTCAGTGTGCAACCCAGGGAGGTGAAGGTGTAATGGAAGGTCTTCCAGGCCCTGGGCAAGAAAAGAAGAAATGAAAGTCCGCCCACCCACTAATCCGGAAGAACCCAAAAGGTATCAGGCTGAGCAAAGTGCCGTAGGATCAGCTGGCTATTTCAACAGAGTATGCAAACTTAGTGAGTAGAACAGAGCAATTTCTCAGGCTGAAGAATAAAAAAACCTAGGAAGGAAACAAAAAGAACAGAACACATCCTCTCCAGGAGCCAACACTCAGATCAATAGGGATCAACACCAGACAAACTATCAAGCAGGAAACAATACAGCTAGGTCTCAGTTAGTGCAGTTAATGAATCCCACAGAACGGTAGTATTATTTAAATCTGCACTATTTGAAGTGATATTTCATGGGAAATATGGTAATTGGTTCCAACTTGGCAGAAATAGGCAATGAAAAATTTTAAATGTAAATTTTATATGCGTATTTATTTATTGTTATTTATTATATGTCACATTTATATAGCCGCCCATCTCACATAAAGCGACTCTATGAAATATTACAGTTAAGGATGAAAAGAATATACTCATGATTTAAATTTATGGTTAACAAAGTCCTTAAAACTACAAAGTTATTTGTAAATCTTCCTTTTCTCCATTTTGCACACCAGAAGATCAGTAGTGTGTAAAACCACAACTGCGCATGTGTTAGCCTTGCATTAACTGAATTTTGGGTTGCATTAAAATGCAACCTGGTATCAATTAACAATTCTCACTAAATTAAATATTGCATTATTTGAACTTGCCCTAATCACGACATACCACACTCTAATCAAGGAACCACCGAGGAGGAAACCACACCCCCATCAACACTGGCAGGGCAAGCTACTGTATATAAACAGGGAGCAAACCCCACACCCACACTCTAATCAAGGAACCACCGAGGAGGAAACCACACCCCCATCAACACTGGCAGGGCAAGCTACTGTATATAAACAGGGAGCAAACCCCACACCCACACTCTAATCAAGGAACCACCGAGGAGGAAACCACACCCCCATCAACACTGGCAGGGCAAGCTACTGTATATAAACAGGGAGCAAACCCCACACTCAGCAACACTGATGATATTACCTAGTCTGGTAATTAAACATCTGCAAGCAAAGAACCAAGCTCAGAGAGCACCAAGGACTCCACAGTTCAACCTGGAGCTACTAGTATATTAGCTATACAGTATATTAGCTAATATACTGTATTCTCTTCTGTTGAATTAAAAATAATTTTTGAAATAAATATTTCCAGCCAGCGTTCAACCTGATTTATCTGAGCATTTTTTCCAGCCTTAAACTGAAAGAGGAAGAACATTTGCATCCTAGTTCTACTAAGCATTCCACTGATTCTGGTGGGGCTTACAGACATTAGCTTGCGGCTCTATTGTTTGCAGAAGCTGAAGTTGTATAAAGGCCGCTGCTCTGTTGGTATTTCAGGTTTTAAGAACTTGATTAAATATATTTTTCCAGCAGGGGGCAATCATGATCTGCAGCACTTTCTCTAGAGGCCAGTCCTGCAAGGTAGTCATGCTCTCACCTTTTTAAACTTGAATAGGGCTTCCATATCTGCTGCCATCTAGTGGTAATTTGGATCTTTGCAGACCCTGCTCGAATCCCTGGGCTAGCACATTGTGCTACACCATAAGGTGGTTTGCTTAATGGTGGTTTAGCAAATTGTGTGAACCCAGCCATTGCAGTTTGCCAACATTGGTTTATGGTAGGAGGGTGATAGGTTTTGGGGCCTCAGAGCCACATTTCTTATAAAAAGGGTTTTGGCTTATAAGTGCTTCAGGAGGAATGATTAGTGAGCTCATCATGTCATTGAAGAGTCTGATTCATCCCTATCCAGAATGGAATTTTGAGGCTTAGGGATCAAGCATTTGGGGATACTAGGTGAGTGAAGATTGATATAAATTGGTTGCTAGAGTTTCAAATGGGGATTGATTGATGAATTGATACACCGCCTGACTCTCAAAGACTCTGGGTGTTTCCCAGGTAAAAATACCCAGAACAATAAAAGAATACAGTGATAAAAACAACAAAAGATGTTGTCAGTCACCCTTGCCAAAAGGCCTGGCTGATTTTCTCAGCTTCATTTGAAAATGCTGGTAACTGTACATGGGACCTTTAGAGAACAAAAGTTGATAAACCCTGATCAGTACTGCAGAAACAAAGCAAGAATCAGGCCAACTCTTTAACTTCTGTAACAGGATTTATTTCTGAGTAATCATTTGAGAGTATTTAAATTGTCTTATGTTTACACCACACCTAATAAAGGGTTCCCCAGATTCTTTTTTGTTGCTACCTTCAGAAAGCAAGACATGCTTTTCATCCCCTGCGCTACAACTATTTTCAAACGGC